TTTTTTTTTCTGGAAGCCATGAGATTGAGAGAATATCTATAATTCACAAGTATAATCATGCTTTTAGAGGATTCTCTGCCATGCTCACTGAGACTGAAGCTTCTATTTTATCAGGTAATTAATTTCTTTTGCCTGGTTTGCTCTTTCATTATCTAACAAGGAAAGGCAAGAGAGGATGGCTAAATAAGAAAAAATATTAAAATAAAAAAAGTGTTGGAGATCTTGCAGAAATACAGCTAGTTTATTTTATATGGAACAAATACATTAGATAGATCTAAGATCTATCTAGAATACAATGTTGGGTGAGTGTGTGCATATGGAAGACTTTGTTTATTTTTTCCTGGGAGACATACAAAATACTGTTATTAAAGTATGTGCATACTTACCAAGTTAGAAAAAAAAATTGTACAAATAATTTTCTTCCCTACAATTTTACCTGCATATTTGAATGCACACCATCAATATCATGTATTTGGAGATCAAAATTATGTTGAGGATGACCTTGTTGGTGGCTGATGATTTCTTAGAAGTTGCTAGGCACATGAACATCCTGGATTAGTTTATATTTTTTTATAGGCCTCTCTGGCCCTCTCTGTATTCATTTTTTGAGAGATTTTATTTACACCCACAATTTGTCTCTGGACACTAATTTCTTTGGAAATCCGTTCTAAATCCTAAATGCTCTGAAACCCCAAACAATTGAAAATATGCTAAAAATATCCCTCATTTTATTAATTTAATATATTTACTTGAATACTAGTTGGGTTGGGTGGGACATGGATTTGCCAAAACATTTGGAGGGTTGCTGTGAGGCTGGTAGTGATTTGATGACATTGTTCATGGGTATGAGTGATTGGACGATATTGCCCTTAGTTTTGGAAGGAAATTAGATGAAATTGACTTCGAAAATGACATTAATGTGCGGGATAAGAGGATGAGGTTGACATTATAGAATTGAAAGAATAGAGACTAAAATGATGAGGTTTAAATAGTACAAGGACCATTGTGGGGTTATGAACAAAAAAAAAAAAAGAGAGGACCATTGTGGGGTGTTTTGACATAGGTTTTGTATGCAAATAGAATTCTTACTTGTCCTAAATTTAACTAATTACTCCACCCTCTCCCTCTCCACTTGGGTTATCCTCTCTGTCTTATTTTTTGTTACACCATCACCCATGACCAATTGGGTTAATCCCAAATGTGGTAAACCTATTTGTAATTATTGCTTGAAGTTGAATGTGTTAACTGATGTTTTGATGAAGTGATTAAGATTAAGTTTTTTCTTATTAAAATCTCGATTTTGTTATTAAACTTGTGTATTCAATTCGAACTTTTAAAGACGTTTATAGAGTTAAAAAGTCTGGAGGTATTCAATTGTGACTTTTAAATAGTATTTAAAAATTTAGTTGTATTTAGTTGTGACTTTTAAAAAGTAGTTAAAAGTATTTAAAAGTTTGGTGGTATCCAGTAGTGACTTTTAAAAAGTCTTTAAAAGTTTTGTTGTGTCCAAAAACTTAAGGTTCGATTGAGACTGCTTCTCTAGGAAGTACTTCTGCTCATAAGCGCTTCTAACAAAAGCCCTTTTATTATTAAAATCTTGAATTTTCATAAAATATTAAAGTGCTTTGTGGAAAAGCACTTGGGAGTGCTTCTTGAAGATGCACATAGCAAGTGTTTCTCCAGGAAGCGCGTCTAAACTTTTTTGCCAAATGCTGTTAGAAGCGCTTTTAGTTATCAAAAAGCACTTTTGGCCCTTCTAGAAGCACTCCCAAATAGACCCTTAATGACTTTTAAAAAGCTTATAAATGAATGACTTTTGCATACTTTTAAGGCTAATTGTTAATAGTAAAATTCTTGCCAATTTACTAGTGACTATTTAAGAATTTGTCACTCTATGAAAATCACTTACTTCACATTTGAACCCTTGTATTAAGTTGTGTGAGTACTTATGGAAAATAAATTGTGCTTAATGTACAATGCATGGAGGGTCGACAATCCAATTTCATGATTCATTTTAGGGTTTTGGAAATTCTAAACTGGCTTTGCATGCAAGGGCGGGATTAGGGATGATCATTTGGCCCTCGACCCGCAGCCTGAAGTGGGTAGCCCAAGGCCCAATTGACCAAATTCTGACATGACTCCATGGTTAGGCATGTTCGGTCCGACCCATTCTAAAGTTGGGTAGGGCTTGGGCTTAGGATTTGAAACCTTCGGCCTGGCCTGAGTAGGCCCGCCCATGGTCCTCCATGATTGACTAAGTATGAAAAATGGACTTTCGAAATACTAATGTTTTCAATGATATTTGGGGCAGTTTATATTTCTTACAGATTAAATAATCAAACATGATTTTATGAGATAGTATAAAGTATACATTGACTTATTGAGGTATCAATATTGGTATAAACTATATCTTATACTAAAACTAGATTTTCATATTTTGATTTGTTGGGAATTTGATTTTCTATTGTTTTTAATTGAATCCAAATGGGGGTTAATTTTTTATTTACTATGTAAACTTAAGTAAATAGAGTAATAAAAAAAATAAATTAAAGTAAAACGACAAGACATTTACTTAAATATTTGGAATGGAAATAAGGCAATGAGCGGGCCGTTTAGGCTCATGGGTGTCCCAGCCCGACTCAAAAAGCCATCCTAGGCCTGACTCGATGGGCGGGCCTAGGCCAATCCCTTTAAAACCTCAGCCCAAACCCAAAAATTTTGGGCTGGCCTGGCTCAATGACAATCTCTAGACAGAACAATCTGAATTTTCCTTCTTTCAAAATTTGCCTAGCACACATGCAAATAATTAAAAAATAAAAAATAAATAAGAGGAGAATAAAAATAAAAAATAGAAAATCTATATATATAAAACAAAAGGCAGAGAATTATGAAACTTTCATAATACCAGAAAATGCTCTTGGTTAATGCAAATATTAAGAATTTAATTTATTAATTAAATGAGGATAATATGGTAAATTCACACTTTTTATATTTAAAAAAAATTTAAATTTTAAAACAAAATCAGATAACGAGTCTTATTTTTATGAAATACAACTACTCATCATCTTTTACAATTCTAAAATTAAAAAAGAAAATTAAAAACAAAACAAAAAAGAAAACCAATTGGCACACACTCACAGAGGCTAAAATAAAGAAAGCATGAATTTTAAAACTGAAATTAGCCTGAATTTTAAAACAAGAATTCAAAGAAATCCTAGAGTTGAAATAAGCAGGAGTTTTAAAACTGAAATTAGTTTTAGGGAGCTCAAAAGACGGTTTATTAATCCCGGACAATATTTCTAAAAAACAAGTGAATTGTTTTTTCCCAAATTGAAAATTTGGATTATATACCATAATGACCAAAACCAAACTCAGTAACCCAATTAATTGAGAACAAAAAAATCAATATTGAAATCGAGGCAAACCACGATCGAAAATGCATTTTACTCTACTAATTTTTTATTTGTTTTTATTAATGAAATTCACTTATATAGTGTAATTTTGTGTAAAAAGTTTTGTAGCCCATTGATGACCAAAGATTTATTTATGCACTTCAAAATCTGAAGAAAATTGTAAATCAATTTGCAACATGCAGGCCATGACGATGTGGTTTCCATCTTCCCCGACTCAATACTTGAGCTACACACAACACGTTCTTGGGATTTCTTAGAGGCGGAATCTGGCAGGCTATCAAGCAATAAATATCTGCGGCGGGGCCTATCAAGTGATGTTATAATTGGGATGATAGATACAGGTAACAATCCTCATCCCTGGTCTACTTTGCAACTAACTTTATTTATTTATTTTGTTGTTAAGGGAGTAGGGTTGGGGCTTGATAATATATAAAGTGCTTGTCCAAAAATAAAAGGTTACTGTAAAATTCGTATGTTTCATTAAGCCACCAAACAGGTGAATGAGATAGGAAAGGTAGGGTTAAATCCAGAATTCAGGTGGAATTCTGAGCCGCCGCAATCATTTGGTCTAGCGGCACTCAATCTCCACTTTGTCTTGTTGGAAGATGTCATGTGTTCAAATCTCATGGACAACAGTTGCTGATAAGAAAAAATAACCAGTTGTACCATTTCAAAGAAGATGAATGGGAGAGTTCTGCCATAAGAAAATTCTAATTTCGTTTAGCTCTCTAAAACAAAATAGTTGAAGGATAAAATTTTAGTACATTGTTTCATTAAAAAATTTAAAAGTTTAGCAGCCTTCTTTTTTGGCTATATACATTTTGCAGCTTGTGCAGAATAACTCTTCATTTAAATGTGTTGATTAAGGGATATGGCCTGAGTCTTCAAGTTTCAATGATGAGGGAATTGGTGCAGTCCCTTCAAGATGGAAAGGAGTCTGTATGGAGGGCTCAGACTTCCGGAAATCGAATTGTAATAGGTGATTATGTTGTTTCACCCTCCATGGTGTTAATTGCAGAACTATTTCACAAGGCTTTTAAATATAAAATTAAAGAGAGAGAGAGAGAGAGAGGGATTAGAAGAGTTAGCATACACCTATATCTTGATTCACTACTTTATTTGTCACAGAAAGTTGATAGGTGCAAGATACTACAATGTTCCATTGACAAGAGATGGCAACCAGAGCAGTTTAGCCAGAACAAAAGGCTCACCAAGGGATTCTGTTGGCCATGGAACTCACACCGCATCCATAGCGGCTGGTATGCAAGTCCTGAATGCTAGTTACTATGGCTTAGCAAAAGGCACAGCAAGGGGCGGCTTGCCTTCAGCTAGGATTGCATGCTACAAGGCTTGCTCAGATGTTGGTTGCTCTGGTGCCACCATATTGAAGGCTATTGATGATGCAATTAGAGATGGAGTAGATATAATATCTATTTCCATTGGGATGAGCTCACTCTTTCAATCTGATTACTTAAACGACCCCATAGCCATCGGAGCATTTCATGCTGAACAAATGGGGGTCATGGTAATTTGCTCTGGAGGAAATGATGGTCCTGATCCTTACACTATTGTTAATGCAGCGCCGTGGATCTTCACCGTTGCAGCTTCTAACATTGATAGGGATTTCCAATCTAATATAGTTCTTGGAAATGGGAGAAATTTCACAGTAAGATATTTAACGAAGTTCTATTGTTAAAAAAGTTCATTATCTTGTTTATGCAGAAGTTTCTCACATCTAGGTTCTAATAGGGTTCAGCCATCAATTTTTCCAATCTCACTCGTTCAAGGACATATCCTCTTGTATTTGGAAAGGACGTTGCTGGTTATTATACGCCTGAATCAGAAGCAAGGTGATCATAATTCATCATCCTCTGGCCTCTTTTTCTTTTTGGAAATTCATATTCATGTCATTGCTTTTTCACATTTTGATAGAAGCTTTGGTTTAAAGTCCAAAAATATTAATCATTTTGCTTTACATTCAGTAAATGTAAATGTTGTTTACACTGAACTGCAGAAATTGTTATCCAGGATCATTGGATCCAAAGAAAGTAGTTGGAAAAATTGTTGTTTGTGTTGATGATGACCCGGCTGTTTCAAGGAAAATCAAGAAATTAGTTGTAGAAGATGCTAAAGCCAAAGGGTTGATTCTGATTGATGAAGCTGAGAAAAGTGTGCCTTTCGATTCGGGCATTTTCCCATATACAGAAGTTGGCAATATTGCAGGCTTTCAGATTCTCCAGTACATAAATTCTACCAAGTAAGTGTTTCAAATGTACAATTCAGTCCATTTACCATCTATGTTGTCTGTTTACTTTATTGTCATTCATTGATAAGTTTTATTCTAATTCCTTGTATTGTTGCCCATTGAGGGATCATGTCTACCAACTCTCTTTATCTGGATCATTACAAGTTTTAGTCTTGTGCTGCATTGTCCCATATAATGTGCATGATTTCTATCCTGCATCTGGACATCTTGCTAAAGTATATGGTAATTGAATTTAACTTTGCCTCAGTTGAAGTAGTTTTCAAAGGGATCAATAAAACCTAAGGTCCCTTTCATCTGAATATTCAAATGATGATTGTGTAGTATGTGTGCAATTTCAAGGTCACTCTTTCAGCTGCAGATATTTGATTATATGACCTCATTAGTATGCATCAGTTATAAACTACAACTATGTTAGGTATGATAACTTAGCTATGCCTTGACAACAGAAACCCAACAGCAACAATTCTCCCAACAGTTGATGTTCCAAGGTATAGACCGGCACCAGCTGTTGCATATTTTTCATCGAGGGGTCCTGCAGAGCTTACAGAAAACATTCTCAAGGTTATTTTTCTTTCACTTGCAGCTATGTTTTTGGGTTGAAATTTGCTTCGAAACATATTTAGTTTGATGTGTTTTCACATTTTTAAATTTCTGCAACCATTTATGAAGTCGGAAATCATGATTAAGTCGAGTTGGTGCTAAAGCTTCTAACTCTGAAGCAAGGGACCGACAGAGACCACATTAAATCCGATAATAAAGGCTTAATTCATCCAAATCCGACTAAGGAGCTACTGTATTTTGTCTCACTCTGTCTCTATCTCTCTGCTTAGGGGGTCATTGAGCCACCATTGTCACCCAAGCACCATGATAATTATAATGTGTACTTAGGAGCAGCCATGTGTCTGCAATATAAATACATACATAGACAGAACAGGACACCATGGATGTCTCTGTCTTGGTTGTTGTGTCTTTCCATTGTAGGATTCATCTTGTTCTCCTCTCTCTAGTTTCTCTTGGTTTTTCTATCATTTCATGTAGGATTTAGCAGCCACAAAAATGGACTTGCACATACATCTAACCAGGTCTTAACTAATGTAATGTTACTGACAAGAATTGAAGTATGCATGACTGCATACTATAACTAATATTTGTCTGCAACATTAACCAGAGTTAATTTTTTTATATGCTGTTCAGCCTGATATAATGGCTCCGGGAGTGGCCATTTTGGCTGCCATAGCTCCCGAGAATGAAACAGGGACAGTCCCAAATGGGAAGAAGCCATCCACATTTTCCATAAAATCAGGTACTTCAATGGCTTGTCCACACGTAACGGGGGCTGCTGCATTCATCAAGTCAGTGCATCGTCGATGGACTTCTTCCATGATCAAATCAGCGCTTATGACAACAGGTATACTTTTTAAGAGTTCGAAAGTTACATGTCTTGTATGCAATTGATATACTTTGATGGTATTGTGTGCTTCACTCCTTTCATGTGATTTCGTTATAAAATCTTGAATAGAGGGAGATATTTTTGTGCATGATAGAGGAAGAAATCATACAATACATGATTCCCCATGTATGTTTTTTAAAGCAGTTTAAGTACTTCAATTAAAATAAACTGTTCTCCCAGATTATATTTCTCTGAGTCGATATCTCTTCTTGTTTCAGCAACTGTGTTCAACAACATGAAAAAACCTTTGACAAACAGCTCTAACACCTTTGCAAATCCACATGAGGTGGGGGTCGGAGAAATAAACCCACTGAAAGCTCTTAGTCCAGGACTAGTCTTTGAAACCACAACAGAAAACTATCTCGAGTTCCTTTGCTATTATGGCTACCCAGAGAAAAATATAAGATCTATGTCAAACACAAAGTTCATCTGCCCCAAAATCTCCATTGATGAACTCATCTCGAATGTTAACTACCCATCAATCTCCATTAGTAAACTCAACCGGCATCAACCTGCAAAGACAATTCAAAGAACGGCGACCAATGTTGCTGCCCTGAATTCTACGTACATTGTGAAAGTGCATGCTCCGGCTGGCTTAATAGTGAAGGTTCTTCCAGAGAAGTTAGTTTTTGCTGAGGGTGTGAGGAGGGTGTCTTTTCAAGTCTCATTTTATGGCAAGCAGGCTCCTAGAGGCTACAATTTTGGGTCAATAACATGGTTTGATGGTCGACATTCAGTTCGTACTGTGTTTAGTGTGAATGTTGAATAACTTTGGAATTGGAAAGCGTCTTACTGCTTGGAGTCAACTAAAAGTTAGAAAGAGGTTTTTAATGCAAGGAGGGGGAAAATGTGAATTCCTAGGCATATATACCTTTCTTCATATTATAATTCCTGCTTTGATGTCTCAGTCCTTTTAATTGTTCTTTATGTTATCACAAACCCCTCCTCAGTATACATGAAGAGAGAGCTGGTTTGAGCTGACGGCTCAGGCTTGTAGGTGTTACATAGCTTGACCAGATAAAAGCACTGTTTGGGCCAGTCTCAATAAATTCTTCAAACCTCTTCATCATCTCCTTAACTTTGTCGCCGTCATTGTTTCATCCACCATCAGTTTGGACAAAGTAAATTTGCTACTTTGGTTCATAAATTATAGCTTATTTGATTGTATCTCCTTTCTTATGTTACAACAAAGATGCAAGTTTAAAAACTCAATCACTGTATATCACAGTAAACCAACAATAAAAGTTACAAAGTGAACATCTTGTTGTAAAAAATTCCTAAAACGAAATACTGCCTTCCCTACAGGTCTAAATGTCTTGTGCTCTTACTTTTGAGCACTCTTCAGCTTTAGCAACTTTGTGATAAGACATGTTTCGCTTAGGCGAAAAAAAATCCTTTCCTTGCTAATTGTCCTCCCTGTAGTGTGTTAGTGGAATGGGACTTCATGCCATTTCTAGCCTTGGGAATCTCTTTAGACTCTTTTGAGGTCAAGTCAACCATTTATGAACATTGAGTTGGTCTATAACTGTATTAGGGAGAAAATCATTCCGAAGATACTTATGACAGAATGAAAGTAGACAGGGATTCCATGGTGAAATTGTTGCACAATCCAGTTTACTTGTTCTATAATGTAGGTTTCGATCCAGAGAAACTCTAGTGAATGGAAATATATAATTTCATAAAAAATTAAAGTGCAGAACTGCATAGATCAACAACAAAAATATAAGTAATCAAATTTTGCTTATCCACTAACAGTGAAAAAAAAAAGGGGTGCAGTGCAGTATATAGCCCTTTATTGTCTTTGTCTAATAATCTGAAGGGTGTGTGAACACAACCACGACAAAGATTATGGTGTTGGTGCGCATTAATCCCTCATTTATGAGTGGTGAGGCCAGCCTTGAGCTTCTTATGGTACCAACATCGGTCTTGAATGATTTCGCTAGGATGGCATTATCAATTCCAGTGCCAAACACAAACATATATATATAAGCACTGAAACTGTTCCAGCATTTGCACTTCCGAATGCTGAAATGGCGTAGGCTGGTAAATTAGCATATGAGTTATACTGGCAATGGACTAATCCCTTAGGAAACACAAATAGGTCTCCAACTTTAAGCTTCTGAGTATATAGAACGTTTTTCGTGTCCACGAACTCTACTTCCAAGGAACCAACAAGGAATAGAAGTTCAGCGGCGCGAGGGTGGGTGTGAGGATGAAGATTGTTTGGGCGTTCGAAGCAATTTCGATAACAAATTCACTGATCAGAACAGTGAAGAAATCCAAATTGAGAAAATTTGTCTCGAGACTGATTTTATGGGCGAGACTGATTTTATGGGCATTAATGTTTTCACTTGAAAGGTTGCCAAGAATCTGGTTGATTTTGTCAATCGGTTGAAGTTTCTAGAGAGAAACATTTATATTGCTAGAGGGAGTAAGAAGAAGAAGCCAAGAATAACGAAGTATTCTAAATATCTTTTTATTTGGGAAGGAAGGTTTCAATTGAGTGCAAAAAGATCCAGAATAAATATGAAGCAATTGAAGATTCTATTCGGATTTTCCCCAATCAAAGAGTTGAGATCGAGGACGAATTCTTTACAACCAGGAGATTCCTCGTTTGCAGGATATTTAAGCACGGCGCATGACACATTCTGTCCATTAAGAGAAGGGAACTCAGCCAAGGCAGCTTTTGTTATGTTTAAGGTTCCAGGAACATCATCAAATATGTCCCTGAATCCAGTGTAAGTAGATAAATTAGCATCAACTGTGTTATTTTCCGGGACTATGTAGTAGGAAAGGATATCGGGATCACTTGCAAGGACCCTTTTGTAGGTGGCCAGGGCTAGTACAAATATGATCAGTAATTGAACAAATCTCAAGGCCATGATAGCTGGATAAATGGTTAGGCCTGAAACAAACTTGTTCTATTGCTGTTGGCATTTCACTGTCTTGCTAACATGGTATTTGTATACTTTTCCAGGAGCTGATAAGTTTGCAATTGCCAGTTTTCTGTTGGAATTTACTATGTTGTTTCTATGTTATCTTCTTCTTGGCCTGATTGAAAAGACACAAGCCGATAAATGGTTAGGCCTGAAACAAACTTGTTCTATTGCTGTTGGCATTTCACTGTCTTGCTAACATGGTATTTGTACACTTTTCCAGGAGCTGATAAGTACGCAATTGCTAGTTTTCTGTTGGAATTTACTATGTTGTTTCTATTTTATCTTCTTCTTGGCCTGATTGAAAAGACACAAGCCGGTATGAGCTGTGCACACATAAGTTAATTAACTAGAATATCAGCTCGACTGAATTTCTTAAGATGTATGAAATTGAGAGGAGTTGCAGATGACAACAATTGACTTTGTAAATGTCTTGTTTCTCTCTATCGTCCAGCATGCATGACAGCAAAGTGTACAATACAATAGCCACAATCTGGCATGTGAATCCAAGCAGGGCCTATCAAATGACTATAATTTGCTTTGGTTTAACAGAGATGAACTAGGTGGAATTTTATGCCAGCAAACTAATCTGTGAAAAAGTAATTTTTAATGTCAGGTAATTATCTGGAAGCATTAACTTATGTTCCTTGAAATAACCAATATTGAATTCATATTATAATTCCTACTTTGATGTCTCAGTCCTTATAATTTTTCTGTAATTATGTTATCACAAACCCCTCCTCAGTATACACAGAGAGAAAGAGATAGCTTGAGCTGAAGGCTCAGGCTTGTAGCTTGAGCAGATAAAGGCACTGTTTGGGGCAGTCAAATCTATTTACAAATTTTTCAACCCTCTCATCATCTCCTTAACTTTGTCTCCGTCATTGTTTCATCCACCGTCAGTACGGACAATGTAAATTTGCTACTGTGGTTCATAAATTATAGCTTATTTGATTGTATCTCTTTTTTTATGTTACCTTTTTGTTATTAAATTTGTAAGTAAATTTGGTTAATCATAGTTGTAATAAGAAAACTTTTGGCTGCGAAATCATGTCGCTGCCAAAAAAACAAAGATGCAAGTTTAAAAACTCAATCATTGTATATCATAGTAAACCAACAATAAAGGATTACAAAGTGAACATCTTGTTGTAAACAATTCCTGAAACGAAATAGTGTCTTTTCTACAGGTCTCAATGTCTTTGCTCTTACTTTTGAGCAAGGATTAAAATATCGGTCGTGCAGTTAATATCGGGCCTCCAATTTACGGATATTTTTGGGGGATATATCGTTATCGTTTCAGGTATCGGGAAAAAATCAACAAAAATGACATGTAGGCATTAAAACACATAATTTTTGTGTAAAACTTTCATAGATGTTATGTACAATGTCAATGAATGTATTGAACAAATAAAACTCAAAATTGACTAATAATAAGATATACATATGATGAAATATAAGTGGTATGTAATGCGCGTTAATGAAAAGTTTGAAAATAAAATATTGATTAGAATGAATAAACCATGCATAAATCCATAGTTTGTTTAAACATTGGATTATAATTTAGATAAGTGTCCATCTACATAAATGAAGAGCTCCTATGATGTTCAAACAATGAGGAACAACCATCTAGATTCATACAATAGTCATGCCAAGTCATGTAACTCGAGCAGTTTGTAAGCCATGTTTGAACATGGTGCACATAGGTCTCTCTTGAACTCCCTACTGTCCTCCCATATATGGAATAGTTAGGATTAACCTAACTAGTAGGTCCATAATTTGTTTCATCATCTTGAGCTCCATAACTAGTTCCACTGTAATCAGACATGACATAACCATAGCCATCATAAGATTAATTTGAGTTAGTACTAGGTCTAGTTCCTATGCTCATAGATCCAAAACTAATCATCATGTCCTCTTCAGATGGATTGGAGGTATGTGGGCAGTGGTGTAAGATCCCACATCGACCAACGGAGAGGGGGTGATGTGCCCTATGTGTACATGCCCGCCTCCATCTAGCACGAGGCCTTTTAGGAGCTCACTAGTTTCGGATTCATGGGAACTCCGAAGTTAAGCAAGTTGGGGCTAGAGCAATCTCAGGATGTGGGTGATCCACTGGGAAGTTGCTCGTGAGCTCCTAGAAACAAAACCGTGAGGTCAGAGAGGAGGGCCCAAAGCGGACAATATCGTGCTACGGCAGAGCCGATCCCGAGATGTGACAAGTGGACTGTGCATAGATTCTTCATATTAATAAATTATAGGGTTCTTGGAAAGGATTAGCTATTTTTGGGTTTCAATTTGCTTCAATTGCCTTCAAAACTTTTGGATTTTTTTTGGGTTCTGTTATGGATATAGGGAAATATAGGGGATATCGGCAAAATATCGGGGATATTGCACTTATCGGGGATATATCGTCGGAAGATATGGCTTTACCCCCCAGTATCGATGTCGACAGTTGAAAATACCGACATATCGGTATATTGGCCGATATTTCAATCCTTGCTTTTGAACACTCTTCAGTTTTAGCAACATTGTGACAAGAAACATTTTTCTTAGGCGAAAAAAATCCTTTCCTTGCTAATTGTCCTCCATGTTGTGCTAATGGAATGAGACTTCATGCCATTTATAGCCTTTGGGAATCTCTTTAGACTCTTTTGAGGTCAAAGTCAACTATTTAAAACACAGTGAACACTGAGTTGGCCTATAAGTGAATTAGGGAGAAAATCATTCTGAAGATACTTATGACAGAACGAAAGTAGACAGGGATTCCAGGGTGAAGTTGTTGCACAATCCAGTTTAGTTGTTCTAAAATGTAGGTTTCGATCCGGAGAAACTCTAGTGAACGGAAATATATAATTCAATAAAAAAAAATTAAAGTACAGAACTGCATAGATTAACAACAAAAATATAAGTAATCAAATTTTGCTTTTGCAGAAAAGCTAACACTGAAAAAAAGAGAGGGTGCAGTACTATATCGCCCTTTATTGTCTTTGTTTAATAATCTGAAGGGTGTGTGAACACAACCACGACAAAGATTATGGTGTTGGTGCGTTAATCCATCATTTATGAGTGGTGAGGCCAGCCTTGAGCTTCTTAACAGTATCAACATCGGTCTTGAATGATTTTGCTAGGATGA